CTAAGGCTTGAGTAGGCAGTTTTTCCCTGACAGTGCTAAGGAGGCTAGGGAGTTCGGACTGGGCGGAACTCACCACAGCAAGGCAAAGCGGCTGTGGCCAGACTGCCTCTCTAGATTCCTCCTCACTGGGGGGGCATCTCCGAAAGAGAGGCAGCAGCCCTAGTCAGGGGCTTATAGATAAAACTCCCATCTCCCCGGGACAGAGAGAGCACCCGGGGGAAGGGGCACCTGTGGGCGCAACTTCAGTGGACTTAAAGGTTCCTGCCTGCTGGCTCTGAAGAGAGCAGCAGATCTCCCAACACAGCGCTCGAGCACTGCTAAGGGACAGACTGCCTCCTCAAGTGGGTCCCTGACCCTCATGCCTCCTGACTGGGAGACACCTCATACAGGAGAGCTCTGGCTGATATCAGGTCAGTGCCCCTCTGGAACGAAGCCTCCAGAGGAAGGAGCAGGCAGCTATCTTTGCTGTTCTGTAGCCTCTGCTGGTGATACCCAGGCAAAAAAGGTCTGGAGTGGACCTCCAACAAACTGCAGCAGACCTGAAGCAGAGGGGCCTGACTGTTAGAAGAAAAACTAACAAACAGAAAGCAATAACATCAAGATCAACTAAAAGGACCTCCCCTCTCCAAAAGCCCATCCGAAGGTCATCAGCCTCAAAGATCAAAGACAGATAAATTCAAGAAGATAAGGAAAAACAAGCACAAAATTGCTGAAAATTCCAAAGACCAGAATGCCTCGTCTCCTCCAAATGATTGCAACTTCTCTCCAGCAAGGGCACAAAACTGGATGGAGAATGAGTTTGACGAATTGACAGAAGTAGGCTTCAGAAGGTGGGTAATGAGAAACTCCTCTGAGCTAAAGGAGCAAGTTGTAACCCGATGCAAAGAAGCTAAGAACCTTGATGAACCAGTTTAGAGAAGAAAATAAATGACCTGATGGAGTTGAAAAACACAGCATGAGAACTTCATGAAGCATACGCAAGTATCAATAGCCAAATTGATCAAACGGAAGAAAGATTATCAGAGATTGAAGATCAACTTTTTGAAAGAATGCATGAAGACAAGGTTACAGAAAAAAGAATGACAGTGGAACAAACAAAGCCTCCAAGAAATATGAGACTATGTGAAAAGATTAAACCTACAATTTTTGATTGGTGTACCTGAAAGTGACAGGGGGAATGGAACCAAGCTGGAAAACACACTTCAGCATATTATCCAGGAGAACTTCCCCAACGAGCAAGCCAGGCCAACATTCAAATTCAGGAAATACAGAGAACACCACTAAGATACTCTTCGAGAAGAGCAACTCCAAGACACATAATTGTCAGATTCTCCAAGGTTGAAATGAAGGAAAAAATGTTAAAGGCAGCCAGAGAGAGAGGTCATGTTACCTACAAAGGGACTAACAGAGGATCTCTCTGCAGAAACTCTACAAGCTGGAAGAGAGTGGGGGCCGATATTCAACATTCTTAAAGAATTTTCAACCCAGAATTTCATATCCAGCCAAACTAAATTTCATAAGCAAAGGAGAAATAAAATCCTTTCCAGACAAGCAAATGCTGAGGGATTTTGTCACCACCAGGCCTGCCTTACATGAGCTCCTGAAGGAAGCACCAAATATGGAAAGGGAAAACCAGTACCAGCCACCGCAAAAATACACCAAAATATAAAGACCAGTGATACCATGAAGAAACTGCATCAACTAATGTGCAAAATAACCAGCTAGCATCATGATGACAGGATCAAATTCACACATAACAATATGAACCTTAAATGTAAATGGGCTAAATGCCCCAATTAAAAGACACAGACTGGCAAATTGGATAAAGAGTCAAGACCCGTTGATATACTGTATTCAGGAGACCCATCTCACGTGCAAAGACGCTCATAGGCTGAAAATAAAAGGATGTAGGAATACTGACCAAGCAAATGGAAAGAAAAAAAAAAAAAAAAAGCAGGGGTTGCAATCCTAGTCTCTGATAAAACAGGCTTTAAACCAACAAAGATCAATGCAACAAGAAGAGCTAACTATCTTAAATATATATACACCCAATATGGGAGCACCCAGATTCATAAAACAAGTTCTTAGAGACCTACAAAGAGACTTAGACTCCCACACAATAACGGTGGGAGACTTTAACACTCCACTGCCAATATTAGACAGATCAAGGAGACAGAAAATTAACAAGGATATTCAGGACTTGAACTCAGCTCTGGACCAAGTGGACCTAATAGACATCTGTAGAACTCTCCACCCCAAATCAACAGAATATACATTCTTCTCAGCACCGTATAGCACTTATTCTAAGGTCGACCACATAATTGGAAGTAAAGCATTCCTCAGCAAATGCAGAAGAATGGAAATCATAACAAACAGTCTCTCAGACCACAGTGCAATCAAATTAGAACTTAGGATTAAGAAACTCACTAAAAACCGCACAACTACATGGAAACTGAACAACTTGCTCCTGAATGATTACTGGGTAAATAACAAAATTAAGGCAGAAATCAAGAGGTTCTTTGAAACCAATGAGAACAAAGAGCGAATGTGCCAGAACCTCTGGGACACGTAAAGGCCTCCATGTCTCCTCCCTGGAGACGAAGATTCTGAGGACGCTTCTTGAAGGCACCTCAGAAGGTCTCATTGCCCACATGCATGGCCCATTCGAAAACCTGTCCTTGTGTCAACTTTTCCTCCTTCCCTCCTGGATCCTCGGTTCTGCTCCTAGAATCACTTCCCACACAAACCCTCTGCACCAGAACGTTGCCTCTGGCTCTTCCTTCACAGGACCCCAGGCCACAACAGGCTACTTTAGGCAGCATCATGGCCTGCATCTTTGTGCTAAGAGTAATGGGAAGCCATTGGAGGGCTGGAAGCAGGTGCTCGATCAAATCTGTGTTCTTAGGTGGTCACGGTGGCTCATGCCTGTAATTGCAGCCCATTGGAAGGCCAAGGTGAACAGATCACTCGAACTGAGGAGTTTGAGACCAGCCTGGGCAATGTGGCACACAAGGATGGTCCCAGTTACTGAGGGGGTCAGAGCCCAGGGGAGCCTCCATCAGCACCACAAAGGCACAGCCATCAGTGTTGATTGGACCCAAGTCTCCAGAATACAAGACGGGGAGAGCTGGGTGGACCTGAGATATCACCTTGTCCAGCCCCCCTTCTATAGCTGATGAGGAAACTGAGGCTCAGAGAGGCGAGGTCTGGTGACCACAAGTGGGACTGAACTCCTGGACACACCTCAAGGTTCCTTGACCTGTTCTAGCATCTCCTTTCGTTTTTGTTTCTTAAATTAACCTCTTTCCAACACAGCATTTCCGAGTTCCCCTGGAACTTCGCTGATCCACATCAGTGTCCCTGGTCTGGAAGATAATTAACCTCTTTCCAACACAGCATTTCGAGTTCCCCTGGAACTTCATCGGTCCATCAGTGTCCCCTAGTCTGGAAGATCACCGGCTACTTGCCAAGGCCCCCATGACTCTGCTGCCATCACAACCACCCTCACCACCGTTACGAGAAAAACTTGAGACTGATGGCCCCCAAAGCTTGGAAGGAGCTGCGAGACCAAAGAATTGACTCGAAGAAGTCCAGCTTGGTGAGTAGGCGAGTTTATTAGAACTTACACACAGGTCATTCCTGGGCGGTGGCAGGACAGCTCTAGAGATCTGCGCTTCCTCCCAATGCTAAGCTGCTTTCACACTAATTTTCTGACTGTTTACTTATCGGGTAAGAGCGATAGGACTGTTTTCATTGATTGGTTCTCAGATACTCTCTGGGAAGTCTGAGCTCTCAGGGACACCTGCTCCTCAGCTGGGGACCATGGCCATGGCCCACCACCCGCCCTTCAGGGTTCAAGCAGAGGACATACACCCTTTAGTAACCTAGAGGGGACCCGTCACACAACAACCACCCCAACAACCATCATCAAGAAGCCACTGGCTGACTGAGACACAGCCCCGGAAGGACAAGGGAGAGTGGATGCTGGAAAGACAGAGTGACCATCACCAGGGAAAGACTTCATTCTTGGAAGGACATCAAACCTGGGGGTGGGTCTGTAGTGGGGCCGCTGTTTCTTCTCCTGTATCCAACAGTTCTAACTCTTTGGCTTTCTCCATTTTCAGCTCTTTCTTTTCCCGGCCTTCTCATTGCTGGTTCCTGCACACCTCCCCTCTATTCTTCCCCCAATAAATTCTTTTTTTTATTTTTTATTATTTTTTTTCTTGAGACGGAGTCTCTCTCTGTCGCCCAGGCTGGAGTGCAATGGCGTGATCTCGGCTCACTGCAAGCTCCGCCTCCTGGGTTTACGCCATTCTCCTGTCTCCTGAGTAGCTGGGACTACAGGCGCCCGCCGCCACGCCTGGCTAATTTTTTGTATTTTTAGTAGAGACGGGGTTTCACCGTGTTAGCCAGGATGGTCTCGATCTCCTGACCTCTTGATCTGCCTGCCTCAGCCTCCCACAGTGCTGGGATTACAGGCATGAGCCACCATGCTGGGTCCCCCAATATATTCTTTAGTCTAAAGTAAACTGTTTCTTCCCATTCCCCACACTTTCCAGTTCACACTTTTCCCTTATTTCAGGCTCCAGAATTCCTGCCTTCTCCTTGCCGCACTTGCCATCTGCATTAACCCCTCCCCTGCTGTGCTCAGCTGCAGAAATGCCAAAGTCACTGACACTCAGTTCCATAAACTTTACCTCACCCTCTTTATCCCCCTAATAAAATGTTTGGGTTTGGGCCAAAGGCGGTGGCTCACGCCTGTAATCCCAGTACTTTGGGAGGCTGAGGTGGGTGGATCAAGACGTCAGGAGATAGAGACCATCCTGGCTAACATGGTGAAACCCCATCTCTATTAAAAATACAAAAATTAGCTGGGCGTGGTGGTGGGCGCCTGTAGTCCCAGCTACTTGGGAGGCCAAGGCAGGAGAATTGCTTGAACACAGGAGGCAGAGGTTGCAGTGAGCTGAGATCACACCATTGCACTCCAACTTGGTGACAGAGCAAGACTATGTCTCAAAAAAAAAAAAGGTTTGCATTTTGTCTTGGCCCGTCCCAGGCATCTCTCCCCTGGTGGTTGCCCTGCCCTGTGGTCACGGTTCTTGGCGCAGAGTCTCATACTTCTTGTTGAGAATGTTTAGCTTCTTCTCCAACTCCTGAGCCACCTTCTTCAGCTCCTCAGCTGTCTTTGACTTTGCCCCCTCATGTAAGTGCTTTAACTGGCACACGAGGCTGACTACATCCAGCACGAAAAGGGCACCTTCAAAGACCTTATCAACGATCTTGGCTCCTCTGATCACCTCCGTGGTGCGGGATTCAGCAACTCTCTCCATCTCTCCAACTCTCTCCATCTCTCCAACTCTCGCCGTCTCTTCAACGCTTATAGCTGAGACTGGCTCAGTGACCCGGTGGAGTGAGGCTGGGACATGTGGTACTGAGTGAGGGTTGGCTCTGGCTTGCCTGATGGCACGGATGGCCTTCCCAGTGTCTTCTGTGAATTTGACAAGATTGACACGTAAGGAAATAAAGTTGGGTATGTTGTGATACAGAAACTCGTTCATCTCCTCCACCCTGTCAAGGCTTTTGTTGACCAGTTCACGGGCTTCGGCTTGTGCCGACCGCTTCTTTGCGTATTCCACGCTACCGCTGGTAATCCCGGTCGAGGCGGCTGCGATTCCCAACCCTGCCACAGGTTCCAGGAGCACAAGGCTGCTCCCCGCTGTGAAGGGTGCCAGACCCATGCCGAGGAAGGTCAGGACGCCAGAGGCAACGCCGAGAGTGCTGGAGAACGTATTGGCGGTGGTGGCGCCTTTGTGGACCTTCTGAACCTCACCTGCAAGGTCGCAGAGCCTTCTTATTTTATCCTGAAGCTCCCTTTCCAACCGAGGAAACTCTTCCAAAAACCGCTTTCTGTGCTGCTGGACTTCTTCGAGCCAGTTTTTGTCTTTCATGACCATGTGTCTTATAAGCTTGTTCAGAGCTTTATAGAGCTCATCTGCCTCATCCCTGCACAAGGAAAGGTTAAAGGATTAAGAAATGCAGTTTCTCTGTCTGTGAAATGGGCTCCATGCGATCTCTATCCTGTGTAAATTGCAGAGCTCTCACTATCAATCAAATGGAAACAAATTTTACAAATGAAGAGAATTTAAGCTCAAACATGCTTTGTTCATCATAGATACCCCTCAGTACTTATTCCATATGGAAATAAATATCTTAAAGGCATCTCAGATGCTCTTTCGTGGTAGGTGTTTGATAAAGATGCCTCCTCACTCAAGGGCAGGTCAACACCGTGACTGCCAAAGTGTTTGGAGAGGGGAAAACTCTGCAGATGAACAAAGAGCAGTGAGAGTGGAACAAAGACACCTTATTCCCAGGATGGCAGCAAAGTGAAGCATGAACTTTTCCCAAAGAGAGGCCTTCCCTTTGTCCTCAGCTCCTGGGAAGTGATCTCCAGGCTCCTGGAGTGTCCTGCCTGGTAGGAACATCTTTCTTTGCCTGGTGATTTGGCCATGGGACAGTGTAGCAATGTGATGGATGATGGGATTTGGTGCTATTTGGTGTCTTTCCTAACTTTCAGAGGACCTGGGACTAAAGGTGTGAGACCTCAGGGAGGGGCTGGAGACTCCAGGTCAGTCATGAGGGCAGCTTGTGATCCAACCCCAGCAAATACTCTAGACACTAAGACATGGGTTGAGAAAGACTTTCTCCTTGACCAGCTCCAGCGGGGCTCTTCTGAGCCTCTTCTCCACTAGGCGCCGACCTTGGCCTTCCACACCCACCCACTGCTTTCTGGACTTGCACCACCCCGGCTCAGCAAGAATCTCCCCAAGTCGGTTTAGGGAGGGTCCTCCCTGCTTGCTGTCTGAGCACTCTTTGCTATCTGATCGTGTTCCTCACTCCCACCGTTGGTGGGTGAGTGTCTGACCTGCCTGTAGCGAGAATCCTGTTAGGCCAGTTTGGCAGGAACATCACACTCTGGTGTCTCCCGTGAGTCCTGTTCCATCTCCTGCCCCTCACCCTGGTGTTGGCTGTGACTCCCCCTCTGTCTTTACTGTGTTTGGAGCTGGACTCGGTCTCCCTCCCCTGTAACAACCATCCTGAATAAAGGCTTCCTTCCTGATTTCATGTGATTCACAGGAATGTTTCCTTAACTGGGTGAGCTTCCCTGATTGGCAACACCCCATGTGTTTTGTCCCACATTGACACAGGATATCACAGCATCCTGAGGACAATGAAGCTTCATACCTGAAACCCTCCCAGAATCTCCCCTGTGTGTCTCTTCCTTAGGCTGATTTTAATCTGTGTTCTTTCCCTGTGATAAGCCACAATCGTGAAATAGGAGTTTTCAGTGAGTTATATGAATCCTTCTAGTGAATTATAAAATCTAAAGATGATTTTAGGAATCCCCATTAATGTTCAGGTGGCGTCAAAGGTAAGGTGCCCTCAGACATTGCCGTCTGGCTACCTCTGAGTACTTTGAATTCAAATAAAACCAAACCTCAGAGAGACAGGAAATCACTTTGCCTGGCATCTGCTCCCTTCCAATGCCTCATGCCCTTTCACTTTCTGGCTGAAGGCTACTGGGCCCGGGCACTGCCCCAGTTGACTGGAGTGGGAGATCTGGGTATTCATTCTGGCTCCGCATGGACTCTCCAGCCACCTTACCGCCTCCTGACCTACCCCCTGCACCCCCAACCTTCCAGGTCTCACTCGCAGATGTCATCAGCCTAACTGATGCCTTAGCAGTGACAGCTTCACCTGTGCACACGCCAAGGCCATGTGCAATTTTATGGCACCTCTAGAAGACTCAGGACACTTTCAGAACCATCTGTATAAATTGCTAATGCTGAAAAGACCTGAATTTGGACAAGATGGTAGAGGAAGTGTTTTCCTTCTTGGTTGGGGATTTGTGAGTCTGCTCAGTACCCCTGAAATTATATACATTGACAGCAACTCATTCTACTATGGAGATGGTCACTAAGGCAAACTGCTTGCCATTGTCAGGGGCTTCTCTGTGTAGAACAGAAGATCCCAAAGGGTAGCCCAGAACTTGCCAGTTCCCAGGCAGAGTGTGAGAGACACAGGCAGCCATGACCCTCTATGTCCATGAGTGTTGGGATCATCCCGACAGAGAAGAAATATTCCTCTCCCACTCACATGTCCTCTGCAAGTTCATGACCTCCTTAAGTTTCAAGCCCTTGGTGCCTCTCTTGCCACACCCTAGTCCCAGCCCTGGTGCCTCAACCTTCCTACTTGTCCTACAACCAAGGCTGACTCTTGCTCCATCCTGACCCCAGGCTCTGACACTGGTCCTGGTCTCTCTTGGCCTTTGGACAGGATCTTGGTCTTGGTTCCCCACCTTTGACCTGGAGTTCACTCTAAGGCCTTCACCACACTCCTGTCACATTAAGTTGCTATTCCTATGGGACCGATGACAGTTCCCAGTCTCCATGACATAAGCCTAGAGCCCAGGGACTGAGCACAGACAGAGCCGGAAAGAGACTCAGGACTGTCCAACTCCACTCCAGCCTCTCAGCATCCTGGACCAGCAGAAGGGTCCTGCCGCGTTTATGGAATTCCTCAGATGAGAAAAAATGGTCCCAGCCAGCATCTCCAGGAACACACATCAATTAAGTCAGGATTTTTCTGACTTGTCCCAAAGGAAGTCCTGCTGGACTTCAAGAGGAAGACCCTTGACCCTGGTCTTTTTCCACCAACCTTGTAGGATGTTAACATTAACTGTGCACCTACTATGTGTCAGTCATTATGCTGAGTACTTTACCTGCATGATCTCATTTTTCTCACAATCAAACTCCATGGATGAAGAAAGGCTGAAAGTGAGAAAGTAACTCGCAAATTTCCCATCACCAGCAGATGGCAGAAGTGACCCTGTCCCTGTGGGCTTCCTGTCCCCTCAGCCTGAGGCTACTCACTGCCAGCGAAGGACTGGGAGGAAATGTTCCTCCTGGACTGCCGAGAAGATCCTTCTCAAGCCCAGCAGAGGGGCCTGCCTGGAGGAGGTGTGTCTATCAGGGAAAACTAGCCCAAGGGAGATCTGGGTGGCATCACCAGGGTTCCCAATGGAGATAACCCCATGGAGGTTACCTGGGCAGTTCAGCAGTAGCCACCACTCTCTCCCAGGCTTTATGGTCACTCAGCAGGAGTAGCAGCTCCTGTGGGCTCATGTTTTTCTGGAAATAATTAAGGTAATCCTCAAGAGAAATGCTGCTCTCTAGTTGGAAAGAAAAAGGATCAGGTTGGAGGAAAGTGTGGGGGAGCATAACAGCCATTGTGTAAAAGATGGTTACGTGTTAATTTTCCAGGACAGCTGTGGTGTGGGATACATTTGATGGAGTCATCAGTGCTATCGAGGGAATTGTGTGCCCCCAAAATTCATATGCTGAAGCCCTAAAGTCGGGTGACTATATTTGGAGATCTGGTCTTTAAGGAAGCAATTAAGACTGAATGAGCTCACAAGGGTAGGACTCTAATCCTGTTAGAGGGCTAGTGTCCTACTGCAGGAAGTGAAAGAGACACAAGCAAGCCACATGATCACACAGCACAAAGGCAGCCTCTGCAACCCAGCAAGAGAGTCCTCCCCAGACTCCAACGCTGCTGGCACCTTCACCTTGGACTTCTTGCCTCTGGAAGTGTGAGAAAAGAAAAACCAGATGTTGAAGTCACCCAGCCTGTGATATTTTACCATGGCAGCCTGAGAACATTGAAACACCAGGGGAGTGCCACAGTGCTTTGGGGAGGAATGAATCCTTTTCAGCTGAGAACCAACACAAAGTGAGCCTTCCAGGCCAAGGAAGAGAAAACATCCCAGTGATCACTTCTATCTGCCACGTGCCTGAGCCTTCCAGGCCAAGGAAGAGAAAACATCCCAGTGATCACTTCTATCTGCCACGTGCCTGTTGGGTGTCAAACACTGTATACTCGTGTCTTCAAAATGTGAGTTTCAACACATCATTGGGTTATGAAATTAGTTTATTGGTTCAAGAGCAGCATTTTAAAAAGAAAATGGATTTGAAAATATCAGAATGTAGCAAGCATAGCAGGGGTGAGTACTGTTTTTTGTGAGTTATTTCAAATATATATCCCTTAATGTAAATTCCTGGAATCCAGATGTGTTTAGGCATTCTGAATTTTCACTATTTTAGAAAGGACACGGGGTGCATATAGTATATTCCTGACCATTCCCAGCAGAGGCTGGACTGCTCCCCGTAATCAAACCCACACATGTTTCAACAGTGAAGCAAGCAAATATTCACATTAAATGGGGTAAATAATGGTAGGCCTACAAAGAACTCGAGTCAGTATAGAGCAGGATTACTCCTGAAGTCAGCTGCCCCCAAAATGTGTGGTTTGCAGGGATCTGGAAATTATGGAATTACAGATAATGGACTGGGGACCAGTGTGTATTTGTGTGTGCACCAAGACATGATGTAAAATTGTTTCCTGCTGTGGACACACAAGGGGCCCCATTCTTAATTCACAGAAGAAGAAAGTAAAATCCAGACAGCGAGAGTCACCGCCCAAAACCAGCAAGCAGGAAGCTCAGGATTTGACTCCAAGGCCAACGTTTCCTTGACATTGCTTCGAAGACTCCTTGTGTTTTAAAAATGCCTGTGATTTGGTATTAAACCACAGATCATCCTGTTTTGGAGGGACAGTTTCTTCCTCGGCCCCCTAGCCCAGCCCAGCCCAGGAATTCGGGGTGGCCTAGGAGCTCCTGGCTTCTAATCTTCCCCGCCCTCACCTCGTCTTGGACAGGACTCAGCACGGGCCAGTTTGCTGTCCAGGGCGGCTCCTGAGCAGAGCTGACTTGGTTGCCACTGCAACTCTGTAAGGGGAGGAAGCCGTCCTGAGGAAATAGGGCTTAGGGAAATGAACGCAGTGCTGACTCGGCTGGGTCAGCACAAGTCAAAGAAAAACTGACTTGTTTTTTCTTTTTCCTTCTTCACCAAAACGAGGAAGGAAACCCAGGGTTGGATGGAAGGAACCTCCAGCACTAAATCTGTATATTTCTTGATGGGGTGGGGCTGGTGGATATAAAAGCAAAATTAAAACAAAATCCAGCCCTGAAACATTCTTGGGCAAACAATACCTATGAGGCCTTGAGAACGGCTGTCACCTCCCTTAAACTGCAAGCTGTGGGAAACTGAACTGGGGTCGTATCAGATGGACGCTTCTGTTAGATACAAACAAAACTTAACCTCGGCCAGTCACGAGCAGCCAGCTGACAGTGGGCCATGCTGAGATGGGAATACTGGGAGGTCACAGAAGAAACAAGAACTCCAGGCAGCAGGTTCCCATGACGGACACAGAAGGAGCTGCTGAAACCAGCTGCAGGGACAGGGGGAGGCGACAGGCCCACAGGACCCTGACAAACAGGAAGTGGCCAATCCGGCTAAGACCAGTAAGATCTAACTCAGTGCTGGGTCGGACTCACGTTTCGCCTCACACTCAATCATACCCTCCTTGTCTCACTAAACCCCACCCCCACCCGCGCCACAGCAGTTCCATGGATGCCCGTGTTTGGTACAAAACTGCGTGGTACCCACCCCTCCCCGCCAAGTTCCAAGAAATCCCAACCTCTTCCCTGAAATCCTTATGCTTACTCCACCCCTTAATTTAATAAACCAGCAAAGGCAGAAACCCCAAACCACACTGGGCCCGACTGGCTCTTCTGAGTCCGCCTGCACTTCCGCCCCCGAGCCTGCGCTTCCGCTTTGCAATAAAAGCTGATTTGCTTTTGCTTTTGCTTTGACTTAACCTTTTTCTCTCTTGGATGTCAAAAACCTGGGCAAGGCTAAGGTCCGGTCTCACCTGCGTTTGGAGACCTCACTGCAGCTTCCTCTGCCCTCACTCCCACAGCAAGGAAAAGTCCGCTTGTCCTGTTGGGGTATGAGGAGAAGATAATCAGAGCAGGGGCGGCCATCTGATCATAACAGAAAACTACAGAGTCCATACACAGGAATAGAGATGGGGAGGAAGGTTCTGACAATGACCTGGGCCTGGGAACATGTGTGATAACTGGTTGATGTTAGCCAGTGTGTATTGCGTGTCTGTGATATGCAGGGCTCCTTACACGTGTCTCATTCGATGATGACTCACAGCCCGGGAGATGGGTACCACCTTCCCTTTCAAACACAGAAGAATCCACAAAAGTTAGGGAACTTGCCCGTGTTTTCACAATAGTGCTAGAGCCAGGACTTCTGCTTCAATCCCATGTCTTCAATGACTGTGCTCTGCTCCCTTCAATATACAATATTGAGTCATGTACACACGCTCATGGGAAATGACTCCTCATTGCAAATCCGTGTCTCACACTCTGTGCTCAACTCTTCGTCTTGGTGAATTCACTGCTGCTGCAGCGGACAGCCTGTGTCCCCGTCGCTTCTCTAAGGTCCTTTTTCCCACAAAGACCTGGATCCTGCCAGATGCCGGCTCAGCCTCTGCTGTGGCTGCCGAGCCCTCCTGGTGCTGCCCTGTCCCCTCTGCTGTCCTCCCTGGCTGATGGACTTAGGGTGTTTCTAATTCTTCGTGTAAATTATGCTACAAAGAACGTCCTCCTTCGCGTAAAACTTTGCCCACATTTGATTTTATTTCCTAAAGATATTCGTAGGAGTAGAATGACTAGGTCAGAGGCTATCAACATCTCAAAATGTTTTATACCTACAGCCACGCTGCATGCAAATTGTACCAATTCACACTCGAACTAGCAGTACCTGAAGATGCCCATTCTTTCAGTCTCACTGGCTGTTGGTGGTCTCTTCTTTAGGACAAACAAACAAACAAACAAAAAACCATACACACAACATGTAAATTTGAGAACTAAATATACTTGTTAGCAATACCAATTAGTACAAAATTTAAAGCACAAAGGTAGCAGTTGGGATGTGAAGCACTGAACGAAGGAGAAAGGAGGATTCATATCGTCATCTTTTAAAGAGGGAAGTTAAGAAATACTGGGTACAATGGAGGGCATGAGAAAGTTGTAAGTAAATTGTTTACAGCTACAAAGTTGCTAATGGAAGACAAAAATCTGGCGACAGAATGTTAGGAAAAGGTGGAGAGGAGAGATGGAGGGTACAAATAAGACGAAATGACTAATAATGATACTATAATTACTAATAATAATACGGCATCAGGCCCATCGCAGTCAGGGGCGGCTCCAGGCATTACTATTTCTCTTTTCTCACCGTGTGTCTCTGCTCACTCCCTGGCACACCCACTTCCAGCAGCTGGTCTTTGTTTGCAGACTTTATTTTAACAGCTCAGTGGTTTCCGGGCCCCCGATGGGGTTCCATCCTCCAGCTCTCATACAAAAGCCCCCTCCTCAAAAGCCACTCGCCTCCCTCTTTCGCCTTCCTGCCTTTGTCTCAGGATTCAGACACACAGATGTCTGTCTTCTGGGGCCCCCCATGCAGCAAGAGTAAAAGGGGGACCCACTCCTGGGCAGCAGTTCACCAGGGCAGTATGCAGTGGGGCGTCTGGGCACTTCTTGCTGTAAGGGACAGGGGTGACAGGAGAGAGGGTTCCCTTCCCCTTGTTCCTGCTTTGCTCACTGTATGACCCCCTGAGCCAGGGCAGCCATTTCAACGCCATCTCATGATCCATGAGGACACAGAAGGACCAGGAGAGAGCAGAGGAGCAGGAGGGCAGAGAGAGCTGGGGCCTCAGACTCGCCCAACACTTGTGAGGAGCTGCACCCAGGATTCCATCCTCCTTGGCCATTGCTGGCCTGGCTCAGACCCTGACCTGGGGCCTCTGCTGAATACCGAGGCTGGATATTGCCCCTCAGGCTTGACTAGGACACAGCGGGTCCTCCCTGGGCGAGTCTGCTGGTTGGTCTATTCCGGGAAATGACTTTGGTTCCTAGAAGAAGCCCAGATGGCCCTGGTCCAGCCCAAGCCCTCCCCAATTGTGCAGCCCAGACAGGGAGCCCTCCCTCCTGCCTCAGGGCTCTGAGCCAAGCTCACCAGATGCAGAGGACAAAGAGTCTCAGCAAAGCGGCTCCCTCCATGTCGCAGGCTCCAGGGCCTCCTCCTTGAGCGAGAAAAGAGGAGTTGAGACTGTGCTCCTCCTGAGAAATCACCATTTTCATTTCATTTTTGAGAAACGGTTGTGCTCTGTCGTCCAGGCTGCAGGGCTTTGGTGCCATCATAGCTTGTTGCAGCCTAAAGCTCCTGGGCTCAAGTGATCCTCCTCCTTCAACCTTCTGAGTAGCTGGGACTACAGGTGCACGCCACCATGCTGGGCTAATTTGTTCATTTTTGATTTCATAGTGACAGCGTCTCCTGTGTTGTCCAGGCTGTCTTGAACTCCTGGCCTCAAGTGATCCTCCCGTTTCCGCCTCCCACAGCACTGGGGTTACAGGCTTCAGCATCTCTTTTTGGTGAAGAACAAATAAGATCGTGACTCAGATTTCACAGAAATTTCCCCCCTGATTTCAGGTACTTTTGGCAGCTCTATCAGGATTTCAAGAGGGGAAAATCTCAGGCTGGGAGGGGAGGTGACTTGCCCAGAGTCACACAGCTCTTGGAGGGCAGAGGGGAGGCCAACATCTGGCCTTGTGACTCTGATATTGAAGCAAAAATGGGTGATTTTAGTAATCCAGAAATGTCCAGGTTTGATTCTACTTCTACAAACACAGAGATCTAAGCTCACACTACTGTGGTTATGATCATAGTTCCACAGTGTGGCTTTTGAATCTCATGATTGCAAAGCTGGCATCATGCCACAGACACCATTCTGCAAGGCGCCCTGCTCACTCCCCTGTCTCAACCATGTTTCCCATTAGGGACACAGCACAGCCTGTTTCTTCTCCATCCCCCCAGAGGTCTGAACAGAGGGACAGAAGTGAGGGCCAGAGATGTGGAGTCCTATGATCTAACCGCTCAGCCTCCTGATGCTGGACCCTCGGCAAGTCACCCTCCTCCCGGGGCCTCAGTTTCCCCACAGGGCCTGGCACAAGGTGGTGCTCAGACTCACGGTTGATGAGACGACCTCTGAGTTCCTTGTACCTGAAAAAAAATCTGTTGTCCCCATTGGGCCTCAGGAGCAGCACCCTGGGGCCCTAATGGGTGTGGCCATGCCATAAGGACAGATCAGACTCCAGGTCACCTCCTCTCCTCCACCTTCTTTGGTTCCTTCAAATGTCCCAAAGAGACAGGCACCCCCAACACAAACCTTCCTTCTGGGGTCACCCAGCCGTGTCTCAGCAGTCCAAACAGAGCTGAACCCAGGGAGCTTTGTGAACCCATCTGAGCTGTTTCCCCCACCCTGTATAGTTTAAGGGCATAGCAGGAGGGGGGAAACATCAGACTCAAGTCTCGATGCAAATCCAGGCTCTGACACTACTTTCCTGTCTGATCTGAACCAGTTACCTAACCTCTCTGAGCTTATCTACAAAAGCTGTGAGAATAAGGAGATGCGGGAAGGTCAACTGTCACCAACTTACCAAGGAAACTTCCCCTGACAGAGAGACTGAGCAAGATCCAGCTGTTCTGAGCTGTGTGGGTCCCACCTACAGTTATGAGTCTGTGTAATAACCAGACACGTCCTCCGGCCTCCCAGACATACCCAGGAATTCCAAGGGAAAGTGAAAGTCACAACTTCCCAGCAGCTCGTGATCAAGCACAGCAAACAGATTACTCCCCAGCACCATCTTCAGTCCAGCCCCGCCCTCCTTGCTGCTGCGCTTAGAGGAGCACCCTGAGACCAGACATCCAGGTCTCTTTCATCCAACCCACCTGCCTCGCATCCTCAGGGTTGGGGGTCTGCAGTGGTCTCAGGAAGAAAGACCTGCCACTGACAGACTGTGAGACCCTCCAGATTACTTCCCATCCTCCCGTGCCCCCACACTCCCCAGATGCCTGCCTTCCTCCCGCCCATGCCATCAGCATAAGCGCAATCTCCCACACATGCCACGTGGATGCTTATTGTATATTTATTGTAATGCTGTTGGGGTTATTTTGGTTATGTTTTTGAGACAGGGTCTCAGTCTGTCACCAAGACTGAAGTGCAGTGCCACAATCATAGCGCATGGCGGCTTCAGACCTCTGGGCTTAAGCCATCCTCACACCTCAGGGTTCTATAGGCATGAGACAACAACCTAGCTAATTAAAAAAATATATAAATATTAGAGATGGGATCTCACTATATTGACTGGGCTACTCTTGAACTCCAGGCCTCAAGCGATCCTCCCACCTTGGCATGAGCCACCGTACCAGGCCTGCTCTTGTTGAAGGCCATACCTTGTGGCTTCTAGATATTTGCTTATGTGGGGTCTTCTGCCAGGAGCACCGGCTTCCACCACCTGGAAAAATCACGCTCATCCTTCAGTGACAAAATCAGGCATTGCCTCCTTTCAGAGAACCCCCCAGCATCCTCCCCAGCAGAGGCCACCACCCCATGTTCCACTCCCGAGGCACACTGGGTGGAGGGACTAGAGACCACTGCTCACCACACGTCCATGGCTAAGAAGTCAGGCAACCAGATTGCTGTTGGACTTTTGTGCTTTGCCCCAGGCAGAAGGGCCTCAAAGGCAGCTAAACCACAAAAGCCAACTTGACCCTTCCATGGAAGCCTGTTTCATCCTCAGCAAACATCTCTGGGGGCATCGTGGCCACCTCCTCCCACCCATACACACACACACACACACACACACACACACACACACCAGCTTGTGAGGCAGGAACAGAAAGGTGAGGCAGGACAGAATAACCCTATTTTCAGGAAGGAGAAGACAACAGCTAATACCACTGCTCACAACATCCTGACTAAGCAGAGGTCCTCAGTCTCTCCACATGACAACTTCACTGCTAGCATAATCAGCATTTGAGAAAACAGCACACTAAACAAAACTACAACCAACCGCACAGGGACTGCACAATACATTTTGCAATACATTCCATTTGCAAATACTTCTCCTTTTTATTGAGTTTTATAGTCATCCCCTCAATGGGCCGGGATTATGATCTGATTTTGCAGATGAGGAAACTGAGGCAAGGGGAGAGGAAATCTGGGACACGTCTCAGTCAGTTTAGAGGTTTACTCTGCCAAGGTTGAGGATGCACCCAGGAAAAAGGCACACAAGTCACAGGAGGATCTGGGGCCCACTCATTTTTCACAGAGGGTTTTGAGGGCTTCAGTATTTAAATGTGTAAAGTCAGGCAGCAGTAGAAGGAGGAAGGGAAAAACGACAGGATAGGTAATGAGGTGAGTGGTCACATTCCTGTGAGGCTTTGATTAGTCCTCCCTGAATCCACAGGTTCTCTATGAAAGGAGGGGGTAGAGGAACAGTCAATTATTCATTCATCTCATGCACAGTTAATCTACATTTTCTGTAAGATAAAAATAAAAATAGAGTGGAGGAAGTAGGCATATGTGTATTTTTCTGAGGATGGGCAGAAGTCTTGCTATTTGCCACGTACCTGTCAAGGTAAGTTGCTAATTTACATTGCCACCATGAAATTACACAAAGTCTGCCTCAGGGTAAAAATTTTGGGGACGCAGAAGGAATTTCCTTGTAAGCAATATGTGAAGGAGGCCACCTGGAGAATATGTTGCCTTTTGTGTTTGCAAATAGCTGCTTAGAAACAAAAACAAAGGCAGGTTTTGGAGTGACTCCATTTCCAAGCTCAACTGTTTCCAGTGAGTTTGGGGTCCCAGGATTTGACTTTCCTTTCACGTTTTCTCCTTGTTCATATATATACACACACACACACAGATACATAGATATATAGATATAGATATACATTTCCTTTCATGTTTTCTCCTTGTTCATATATATATACACACACACAGATATATATATATAGATATACATTTCCTTTCACATTTTCTCCTTGTTCTTCAACTATATATATATATATACGTGTGTGTGTGTGTGTGTATATATATATATATTTTTTTTGAGATTCGGTCACCAGGCTGGAGTGCAGTGGCATGATCTCGGCTCACTGCAACCTCCACTTCCTGGGTTCAAGTGATTCTCCGGCCTCAGCCTCCCAAGTAGCTAGGACTACAGGCACGCACCACCACACCCAGCTAATTTTGTAAACTGTAAAAGTAGAAGCAGAAGTGGGACGAGCCCTGTAAATGTTCTCATTTATTAGTAGGAGCTAAGCTATGAAGACACAAAGTCATAAGAAGGACACAATGGACTGGGCGTGGTGGCTCACATCTGTAACCCCAGTGCTTTGGGAGGCCAAGCAGGTGGATCACTTGAGGTCAGGAGTTCCAGGCCAGCCTAGCCAAAATGGTGAAACCCCATCTCTACTAAAAATACAAAAAATTAGCCGGGTGTGGTGGTGGGCACCTGTAATCCCAGCAACTCAGAGGCTGAGGTGGGAGGATGGCTTGAGCCCCAGGGTTTGAAGCTGCGGTGAGCTATGATGGGGCCACTGCTCTCCAGCCTGGGTTAGAGAGAGAGACTCTGTATCAAAAACTTAACAAAAAATAACCCCAGCAGCATTGCAATAAATATGCAATAAGCATCTACCCAGCACATGTGGGAGACTGTGCTAATGCTGACGGCATGTGTGGGAGTAAGGCAGGCATCTGAGGTGTGTGGGGGCACAGAAGGACGGGGGGTAATCTGGAGGCTCCCACAGTCAGTCAGTGACAGGTCTTTCTTGAGCTCAGAGAGGTTAGGTAACTAGTTCAGATCAGACAGGAAAGCAGGGGCAGAGCCTGGATTTGCACCTAGGCTTGAGTCTGATTTCTCTCTCCCTCCTGCTGTGCCCATAAACTGCAGAGAGGGAGGGGGAAGCGGCTCAGAGGGGTTCAAAAAACTCCCTGGGCTCAACGCTGGTTCTGACTGCCTGAGACATGGGTAGGTGACACAACAGACCCCGAACCCTGAGGATGCGAGGCAGGTGGGTTGGAAGAGAGGGCGCTGGATGTCTGGTCTGGGGCTGCTCCTCTAAGTGCAGCAGCAAGAAGGCTGGACTTGGACTGCAAATGGTGCTGGCGAGCAGCCTGTTTGCTGTGCTTGATGACAAGCTGCTGGGAAGTTGTGACTTTCAGTTTCCCTTTCGAATTCCTGGGTATATCTGGGAGGCCGGAGAATGTGTCTGGTTATTACACAGGTGCACAGCTGGAGGTGGGATCCACACAGCTCGGAACAGCTGGATCTTGCTCAGTCTCTGTCAGAGGAAGATTCCTGGGTAAGTTGGGGATGGTGTGACCTCTCCCAATCTCCTTATTCTCACAATAGCTGCATGAGGGAAGGATCATTCACCTTTTGTAGATAAGCTC